GGCCCCTAGCTGGTTCTTCCAACACTTGCACCAGGAAGTTGTCCCCAAGACTCTTCAAAAACTTCCTGAATTGTGTGTGCATTGCTGTATTGCTCTCCCAGCAGATGTCAGGGTGATTGAAGTCCCCCATTAGTACCAGGGCCTGTGATCTGGAAACTTCAGTTAGTTGTCTGAAGAAAGCCTCATCTACCGCACCCTTCTGATCCCGTGGTCTATAGCACACACCCACCACGACATCACCCTTTTTGCTCTCACCTCTAAATTTAACCCAAAGACTCTCAACAGGTTTTTCTCCAATTTCAAACTGGAGCTCTGAGCAATCATACCACTCTCTTATAAACAGTACAATTCCTCCACCTTTCCTCCTGTACCTGTCTTTCCTGAACAGTTTATACCCATCCATGACAGTGCTCCAGTCATGTGAACTGCCCCACCAAGTTTGTTATTCCAGTCACATCATAGTTCCTTGATTGTGCCAGGACTTCCAATTCTTCCTGCTTGTTTCCCAGGCTTTTTGCGTTCGAGTACATGCACCTAAGATAACTAGCCGATTGCCCTACTTTCACAGTATGAATCAGGAGGCTTCCCGTCTTGTACCTTCCTCCTTGTGTTTCCTCCGGGTATCCCACTCCCGCACTTACCTCTGGGCTTAGGTCATCATCCCCCGGCGAACCTAGTTTAAAGCCCTCCTCACTAGGTTAGCAAGCCTGCCTGCGAAGATGCTCTTCCCTCTCTTCGTTGGGTGGATCCCATCTCTTCCTAGCAATCCTTCTTCCTGGAACAACATCCCACCGTCAAAGAATCCAAAGCCCTCACTCCGACACCACCTGCGTAACCATGCATTCACCTCCACAATTCGACGGTCCCTACCTGAGCCTTTTCATTCAACAGGGAGGATGGACGAGAACACGACTTGAGCCTCAATCTCCTTTATCCTTCTTCCCAGAGCCACGTAGTCTGCAGTAATTCGCTCAAGGTCATTCTTGGCAGTATCATTGGTGCCCACGTGGAGAAGTCCCTGCCTCTATTCTCACCTCTCCCCCCTGTCCCTTTCCTTCCCCTCCCCCCCCTTCCGCTGCCCTCACCCCCTCTACCCCCTGATGCCCTCCCACCCCTCACCCTCCTCTGCTGTCCTGGTTCCCGCCCTTCTCACTCCCCTCACCCCACCTGACACCAGCCCCTCTCCCTGCACTTGCCCCCCTGTACCCATCCCTCCTCTAGCCCCACTCTGACCTTCTGGCTCTTGTCTCTCCCCAATCCCCTCTCCTAATGCCTCCCTCTACCCACCTGCCCTGCATTTCTCCTCGCCCCTCTCTGCCCCCTGGTGCCTGTCCCTCCTTCGTCTGCCCTCCCTGTGTCTGTCCTTCTGCTCAACCCCCTCAATTCCCCTGGCACCTACCCTTTCCCTTCCCCCTGCACCCTCCTGGTGCCTGCCCCTTCCCTCACTCCCCCTGGCCCCCAACACCTGCCCCTCCACTCGCTCCTCTCCTCCCCGGTGCCTACCCTCTCTGCCCCACTGTCCCTGCTCTCCTCAAGCCCCTCTGCCCCCATTACCCATGACTTACCCCACCCCTTGCCTTCCTTGTGCCCCCCCTCCTGGCACACACTCCTTCCCACCCCCCTTCCCTCCTTTTGTCTGCACCTTCCTTTTCTTCCTTCTGTTTCCTGGCACCTGCCCCCCTCTGGCACCCACCTCTTCCCTTTCCCCGCTCTACCCCAATACCTGCCCCTCTTCTTTCCCCTTGTTCTCCCTGACACCTGCTCCATTCCATGCCACACCACTGTCCCCCTGGTGCCTGCCCCTTCCCCCGTTCCATTGCTGCCTGCCCATCTGCTTGCCCTCCTCTGTCCCCTGGCTTTCACCCCTCTCCTTGTGCCCCTCTAGCCCCCTGGCACCCACCCCTTCCCAGGCCCTCCCACCCACTGATGACCACACCTCACCCTCCCCCCCCCCATATGCTCCTGGTGCCTTCCCCATCACATGCCCCACCACTGTCCCCCACTCATTTGTCTCTCCCCCACTCTGCCACCCGGTGCCTGCCCCTTCCTTCTCCCACCCTGGCCTCCACCTCTCCCCTAGGCACAAGCCCCTTCCCTCACACTCCCCCACTGCCACCTTCCCTTGAATTCTCCCCCATGCCCTTCCCCTCACCCTCTGCATCCCTGAAACCTGCACCTCTCACCACCATCTAATCCCCTCGTGTCAGCCCCTCTGTTCACTCCTCCTCTGCCCCCCTGAGGCCCATCTCTACCATTGCCCCCATCTGCCTCTCTGGTGCCCACCCTTTCCTATGCCCCCTCTGCCTGCCTGGTGCAAATTCCTTCCCTTGTCCCCCCTTTGGGCCTCCTTGTATCTGCCCTTCCCCTCACCCTATCTCTACCCCACTTGTGCCCACCCCTCCCTGCACCCTCTCCTAACCTCTGGGTCCCACCCCTCCCCTCACGTTCCCTCTGCCCCCCCCCCGGTGCCCACATCTCCACACCCCTCTGCCCCCCTAGGGCCCACTCTTCTCCACACTCTTCTCTCTGCCCCCCTGTGCTCACCTGTTTCCTTGCCCCCACTCTGCCCCCTGGTGTCCACCCCCTCCTCTCTCCCCTCCTTCCATCTGCCCCTCTGCTTAATCCCCCCCCGCATCCCTCCTGGTGACTACTCCTTCCCTCCCTCCCTCTGTCCTCCTGCCACCCACCCTTCATGCCCCTCTCTCCCTTAATAACTACCCTTTCCCTCACTGCCCTGTTGCCCCCTGGAGGCTCCCTCCACCCTTTGCCCCCCCCCAATACCCCTCTGGCACCTCCCCTACCCTCACCCGTCTTTGTCCCCTTCTCACATGTGTCTCCTTTCCCCCTGGTGACAGCCCCTCCTTCTACTACCCCTCTGCCTCCCTAGTGCCTGTGCCTCTGTTCACCCCTTGTGTCTCCTGGTAAAAGCCCCTTCCCTCTCCCCACTATGTCCCCCAGTGCCCACTCCCTCTCCTGACCCCCCCCCTTTGGACTCCTGGTGCCCACCTCTCATCTTGTCTCTCTCTTTTCTTGGCCCCTCACTCATGCTCTACAGCCCTGGTACCTGCCCCTTGTCATCCCGCTTAGCCCCCCCTCCCTCCCAGGGCCAGCTCCAGGGTTTTGGCCGCCCCAAGCAGCCAAACAACAACAACAAAAAGCCGTGATCGCGATCTGCGGCGGTAATTTGGCGGGAGGTCCTTCGCTCCGAACGGGAGTGAGGGACCGTCCGCCGAATTGCCGCCGAATAGCTGGACCTGCCGCCCCTCTCTGGAGTGGCCGCCCCAAGCACTTGCTTGCCAAGCTGGTGCCTGGAGCCAGCCCTGCTCCCCCCGCCAGTGCCTGTCCCTCCCGTCACCCCACTCTGCCCCCGGCACATGCTCCTCTCCTCCTCCCCCTCCCCCTGCAGTCCCCTGGTACCTGCCCCTCCTCCTCTTGCTCTCCTCTGCCTACTGGTGACACTGTTCCTGCCATTGCCAGCCCATCTGCCCCCAGGCTCCTGCCTCGCTCTGTTCCCCTGGTGCCTCACCATTCCCTCCCCACACATGGTCCTGACACCTGTCCCACTCCTCATCCCCCCCACCCCCGGGCACCAGTCCCTCCTCTTGGTTCCCCCCTGCCCTATTGGCGCTCCCCCCATTCCCTCACATCCCTCTACCCGTGGTGCCCACCCCTTTCCTTGCTTCCCTGTGCCCCCTGGGGTCTGTCCCCTTCTCCCCTGTGCCCACCCCTCCCCTCACCCCCTGCATCACCCTGGAACCTGCCCTTCCCTTCACCCCTCTCCATTCTCCTGGTACCCACTTCTCCCCTCACCCCCCACATCCCCCTAGGGTCTGTCCCCTTCTTCTCCCCTGGAGCCCACCCTTCCCCACCCCCTGCAGCCCCATGGAACCTGCCTTCAGCCCCCTCTGTCCTCCTAGTGCCCATCCCTTCCCTTGTCACCCCATTGCCCTTGTGCCTGCCCCCTCCCTATGTCCCTCCCTCCACCCCCTCTGCTCCTGTCACCACACCCTCCCCTTTCCTCTCCCAGCATCAGTCTGTCCCCTCCCATCCCCTGCCTCCACTGACACCTTCTCACCCCACCCCCTCATTGTCTCCTCACAGGCAGATGGGCCCTGACTCCCCTCAGACAACAACCCTGCCCCCCGCCAGCGATTAACGGGGACAAAATGTTATGCTTATACTAAGCACATGGAATCTTTTAAAAAGGGGATAAGGCAATACACTGCGTTTATTGAGTGCAGTTTAGGCATTAAAATCAGCATATGCTTACACACACACACACCAAAAGTTTCTGCAGCTGGATTTTATAGTTAGTGTTGCTCGGTCAGTTCCAGTGGCCAGCTGAAACGGCACACGAGGAAGGGGAGCTGGACCTCTGTCTAACATGTTCGAAGCTCCAGTGTTGATGCAGAATGAACCCAAAGTCCCATGGCAATACACCTTTTTTTTATAGTAATAAGTTCCCATACAAGTCTATGGCACATCAGCGTTGTTAGTCAAGGTTGCTCCCAATCAGGTTGTTACTGGGAGTTAAGAAACTGCAGCTGTTTCTTATCTCATCCCTCTGGCTCCACACTTTATCTTGTTCTTGGGGCATATGCCTTTGCTTTAGGGTCATCAATCTGTCATCCGGGTAATTCCTCTCAATTTCTCCCCTCCCCTCCCCTCCCCTCCCGCCAATCTGGCCCATCAGTACTGGTCTCTGTTAGCATGCCATACATTCTTCACTCACACACAAAACAGTAAATAATTTCAAAAGCAAGACTTGCAGCCATAACACTTCTACCCTTCTGAAAACAATCAATAACATGTAAAGCAAAGAATAAAACCAAAACAATTTCTTCTTACTAATTTAAGGCTAACAAAATAAGCAAAACGGAGGACAATTTACTCAAGAAAATTTCTCCCCATTTGGCTTTTGGCCTACAACAGGTTAATTTCCCTTCGATCCCAGTGACCAGCCCCTGCCCCCGGCACTGACTCTGTGACTCTCTTCACAGTTTACGTGACTCTGGATCCAGACACGGCTCATCCCAAACTCATCCTGTCTGAGGATCGGAAATGTGTGAGACGTGGAGACACACGCCAGGATCTGCCCAACAACCCTGAGAGATTTGATCTTTGTTCCTGTGTCCTGGGTGCTGAGGGGTTCAGGGGCAGGAGGTGTTACTGGGAGGTGGAGGTGGGAGACAAGACAAGATGGATTCTGGGGGTTTGTAGGGAATCTGTGCGCAGAAAGGGGAAGGTCACATACACACCTGAGGATGGATACTGGGTTGTGCGGCAGGGGGATGGGGAATACAAGGCCCTCACCTCCCCCTGGACCCTCCTCCCCGTGAGCATCAGGCCCAGCCGGGTGGGGATTTTCCTGGACTATGAGGCGGGTGAGGTCTCATTTTACAATGTGACTGACAGGTCTCATCTCTTCACTTTCACTGGCACCTTCTCTGGGACGCTCCGTCCTTATTTCTGTCCTGGTCTCAATGCTGGGGGTGAAAACGTGGCTCCCCTGATAATCTGCCCGGTCCCAGATCAGGCCGGAGGGAATCTCTGTCCCTGACAGCGACATCCGCGGCACAGACTGTCCCCTCCCAGCGCTGCTGCTCTTCCCGTCCCCAGTGGGGGAGGCCAGTTACTGTCGGCATCTGGACTTTTTGTGCTGACTGGACACTGCCAGTTTCCCTTTTCAACTGGAGGTTCCAGTTGAAAACCAGACACCTGGCAACCCCCAGCCCTCACCTTCCCCGTCCCCTGCCCCAGGGGTAGCAGATGGGGGTGGATGGGGTCATTCACTCCTGTCAGAATTTTCTACCCTGGTGAAATCTCAATGTAAAATATGAAAGAAAAAAGATTATTCTAATTTAGAAAATATTTTATAACAAGGTGTACATACAAGAATATTTTCATTTACATTTCAACGATATTTCAAAAACAAGCATCTAAACATATTTTTAGAACTGGAATTATTTACGTTTATTTTTTGATTCTTCCATCAAATCTATATTGAAGTTTAACTTCTCTAAATAACATCATTTGTATTTCAACTGTGGAATTTCAAGAAATCCAAAATATGTATCTGTCATAAAGGGAAGGGTAACAACCTTTATGTATGCAGTAATATAAAATCTCTCCTGGCCAGAGGTACAGAATCATTTACCTGTAAGGGGTTAAGCAGCTCAAATAACCTAGTTGCTACCTGACCAGAAGGACCAATGGGGAAAGAAGATACTTTCAACTCTGGGGGAAGAAGAAGATTTTGTTGTGCTCTTTGTTGGTTGCTCTCTCTCGGACAGAGAGGGACCAGGGCAGGACATTCCTGAATCGAGCCTCTAAGATTACAAAAATTGTAAGTAAAACAAGGCAAGGCATTAGATTATCTTTTGTTTTAGCTTGTGAATTTTCCCTATGGTAAGAGGAAGTTTTATTCCTGTTTTTTGTAACTTTGAAGCTAAGCCTACAGGGGAATCCTCTGTGTTTTAAATCTTTTTATTTACCCTGTAAAGTTACCTTCCATCCTGATTTTTCAGGTGTGATTCTTTTACTTTGTTTTTTAAATAAAATTCTTCTTTTAAGAACCTGATTGATTTTCAGTGTCCTAAAAACCCAGGGGTTTGGTCTGGGCTCACATTGTACCAATTGGTGAGGATATTATTCTCAAGCCTCTCCAGGAAAGGGGGTGAAGGGGCTTGAGGGATATTTGGGGGATAATAGGAACTCCAAGTGGTCCTTTTCCTAAATCTTTGTCTAAATCACTTGGTGGTGGCAGCAATACTGTTCAAGGACAAGGAAAGGAATTTGTGCCTTGGGGAAGTTTTAACCTAACCTGGTGGAATATAAGCTTAGGGGGTCTTTCATGTGGATCCCCACATCTGTACCCCAGAGTTCAGAGTGGGGATGGAACCCTGACAGTATCTTAACAAAATAAACTATTAAATTGTCTGACTGGGTTGTTCAGTTACAATGTACATGTGTCATAAACATCACAACTACACATACGTGCAGCTGCTCTCGCTCTCTCTCTCCCCCTCTCATTATTTATTTAACACAGGCAAATGTTAATCTAAAATAGGGTGACCAGACAGCAAATGTGAAAAATCGGGACGGGGGTGGGGGGTAATAGAAGCCTATATAAGAAAAAGACCCACAAATCGGGACTGTCCCTATAAAATCGGGACATCTGGTCACCCTAATCTAAAAGTAGATAATTTTCCCCTAAAATTTCCTTCAAAAATATCTGCATTCCTTTCCCTATTTCTCACTGACTTATGTGTAATTACTGTGGTTTCTTATTCAATCTTATTGTGTTATTACATGGGAAAATATGTTGGCAAATAGGTTAATATACAACTTGTTTTTTACTATCTGACAAGACATAAAAATGTGTTGTCACTCACAATTTACAGCATGAAGTGTCGTGAAGAGATTGCAGGCAATGTTCATTTTTAAATTTCTAACTATGAATGGGTTCCCCCATCAGTTCCTGCAACCCCTGGCTGGCAGACCTCTCTGTGAATTAAGCAGCATGCAGTCTGCCAGGGAACTGCCACCATGTGTCTTTATTACTTTTTAGGGTGCATCACAACATAGCAGCAGTTACGAGGAGCTCCCTTCCTGCTCCCTGATTCATACTTTTATACTGCTGCTTTCTTCTCAGCGCTGAGCTAGTGACCTCACCAGGCTCCCTAGAGGTGCAAGTGATCCCCTCTACCCTTCCAAACCCAAACTACTCAGTCCCTCCTCCTCTAACTGCACCCGGTGCCCTAGGTGCTCTCAGTGACCAGGGTGCTGGCTTCTGAGGGCTCTGTTTTAGCTGCTAACAGCCCCCGTCACACGGCCATGATTGTGTAATTGACCCTATAGTGAAAATAACACCAAATGTAAACTGTTACCTCATGATTCAATTCATAACCTAGATCTGCCAGTATCTGCTCTGGACAGCCATGTTGATATATAATTTTACATGTCTTCTTCTCCACCTCATGTGCTGTCATAGTTCTAAGTGGAAATTCTTCTACCTCTTTTGAAAAATCATCTGTAGCTGTATCCCTTCTGTGGTGCTGAATATAACCCATTTACATCTGCTCCCAGCAGTTCCCAGGATTTAACAACCTATGTGCAAGAATGCAGGTTAGAGTTCTCATTTGGATCTTTCCTATGACATTTTAATTACAATCCCATACATAGTAAGCAAAGTAAACATGATAATTTGGTTTCTATAATAGTTGATGTCTCCACACAGTCAGAATCTATCTTTTGGTGTTTTTCAGAAGTAAATAAATACAGGCCAAAGTTCTGCAACTGAAAACTTCAATAAATATGCGCTGTGCCAGCACAACGGGCAATAGAAGTCATTGCTGCCCTGTGTCATCCATTAGTTCACAGGGGCACTTGTTATAGCTGATTAGAGGCTTTATTGTGCAGCAATAATAAATACAGAGAATGATAAACAATTAGCTTGGCTAATGTTTAAAAACACTTTAGATGTATTTAACATGGGGAAAGATGCAAAGTGTTTGGTTTAACAGGGAGACATCCACTCAGGTCCACTTCATTGCAGGGCTTGTAAAGTTAAGTGCAATCCAAGCAGGACATTTGCCTTGCATGATATCCTGTATGAACTCCTGCAAAGCATATGACAGAGGCACCAGGGTGACCAGAACTTTCTATAACTCCTTGGGTTCGCTACTGTTTTTCCAATGAAACCAGAGAACTTTACCCAGAGCACTGAAAGGTCTCCTTGGAGATCTAAGAGGGACCCAAGCCAAGCAGGGGAAACACAAACTGCCTGATGGAACCCGCACATGATAATTGAAAGGGCCTCAAATGCTACAGCTCTGGACAGTCCCTGAAGAAGTCAAACCTATTTTAATCTACAGTCTGTGTTCTAAGAATTTCTGACTTACCCTGCAGGGTGGAAAGAGAACCCAGGTCTCCTGATTCTTAGCCCAGTGCCATAACCATTAGAGTCTAGACCATTCTGACTCCCATGGAACATGGTTTCTTAACACCCTCCACCATGTGTTTGATGTCTCTGCTACTCTCCCCATATCCCTCCATGCCCCTGGGGCCATCACCCTTTCCACCCCACTATCTCCTGTCTTCATGTCTCCGCTACTTATCATATGTGATAGTGTTCTTGGGCAGAGGCCATCATTGCCATTGCTACGCCCCTAGGCACGCAGGTGGCTAACTACCTGCATGCAGTGTATTCATAGCTGAAGGCTGCAAGATCATTTCATGGGAAGTGGAGAGGACATGCACAGACAAATAACTGCTCTGAAGCTGCCTGGCGGCTGTCTCCCCGCTCCCCAGCAGGAATGGGGGCTTCCTGCAGTCAGGGAAGGTTTTGAGGTTCCCCAACCCCTGCTACTCCTCTGCTCTGCCTGCCAGGAAAGACCAGGAATCTCTACAGCTGAAGTTCCCACCCCCCACATTTCACATCAGCATTTCATCCAAGTCCAGGATCCCTAGGGCTTGAGCCCTCTTTGCTAAACCATTGCATGGCTCCCAGTCTTCTCCGTATTGTCTTCAGAAACCCAGTAGCACTTTCCCTTGTGTAACAGCCAGTCAGTGGGGAGAGTCTGCACCTGGAGTCCCCTGGATGGGGAGACAGGAAGGGATTCCCCATTTGGTTTGTCCAGAAGCGTGTTGGGGCCTCTTTTAACTCAAGCTCATTAACTGTGAATTAACACGTTAATCACCACAACTGTAAATGCTGGGCCTTTGCTGCATATGCATTCGCACCTGTTTAACTAACAGTGTCTTTTTAAACCAATGTGATTAACCGCCCCCCTACTGCAGATGGAGTTATACCTGTACAAAGGTGTTTATAGCAGTATAGCTGTTCCCTTATGGGGAGATGAATACGCTCTACCAGGAGGAGTCACTTTTATACTGATCTAAATGCAGCCGCACTATGGTTTGTAGTGCTAGAACTATTTAGGTAGAAAGTTAAACCAGAGCAAATCCACATGGATGTTCCTCTTATTTCATTTTAAGAGCAGCTTACTGCAGTTTAGATTAACCTGATTCCTAATTGAGATGAACTGAAATAAGCCTTGTTCAAACCAAAATAAGAGTGTCCACACAGCCTTTCACGCAGGTTAAACTAAACTGGTTGAAAAACTTATTTCAGGAGCATCTCTAGGCAGGCCATTTGTCTGGTTTCGAGTCAGACAGTGCTGTTTTTGGAAAGGTTTGTCCCTGTGTAAACATCCAGTACCCAGTTTGTGACTAAGGATACAAACATCACTGATGGAAGATGACTGTGAGAATGGCCCAGTTTGTGACTAAGGATCCAAACACCCCTGATGGAAGGTAACTGTGAGAACGGCAAATTTGTAATTAATGAATCCCAGCTGACACAGCAAAATCCATAGACTTACACGAGAGACAACTGCTATAAAGATGGGCGGGAGCCAGGAGACTTTGGATTCGTTCTGGAGGGTAGGGATCAGATACAGAGGGACCTAGACAAATTAGAGGATTGGGCCAAAAAAACCATGATGAGGTTCAACAAGGAGAAGTGCAGAGTCCTGCACTTAGGGCGGAAGAATCCTA